GGCCATTTTTTGGTTGCAGCCATCTTTGTTGTTTGGCGGGCCCGGGCTGGGGATTCGAACCCGCCACCTTAGGTGTATGTGGCTGGCGCCTTAGCCGCTTCAGTCACAGGCGCTGAGCCTGTATTTTGTTTATAATATCTTTTGCCAAACAGGAATTTCCTATTTTAAATAGTCGCAATTGTCGTCGTCTTCCTTTCATAACTTTTTTTTTATGAGACAGAGCCTCAAGCTGTCTGGCTGGGTAGAGTGCTATAGCATCACAGCTCACAGTAACCTCCAACTCTTGGGCTTAAGCGATTTTCTTGCCTCAGCCCCCCAAGTAGCTGGTACTATAGGCGCCTGCCATAACCGCCTAGTTTTTTTTGGGTTGTAGTTGTCATTGTTTGGCAGGTCTGGGATGGATTCAAACCCACCAGGTCTAGTGTATGTGACTGGCACCTCAGCTGCTTGAGCTACAGATGCTGAGCCTCTCTTCATAACTTTTGAACTGTCTTTTTTTTTTTTTTTTGAGGCAGAGTGTCAGGCTGTTGCCCTGGGTAGGGTGCTGTGGCATCACGGCTCACAGTAACCTCAAACTCTTGGTCTTAAGCGATTCTTTTGTTTCAGCCTCCCAAGTAGCTGGGACTACAGGTGCCCGCCACAACACCTGGCTATTTTTTGGTTGTAGTTGTCATTGTTTGGCAGGCCTGGGATGGATTCGAACCTGCCAGCTTTGGTATATGTGGTTGGCGTCCTAGCTACTTAAGCAACTGGTTTCAAGCTGAACTCTGTCTTATTTTAGGGAAGCCGTTTCCATCCCAAGACTATAAACGACTTCCCTCTTATTTCCTTTTAATACTTTTTTAGTTAAAAATTTAATTCTTGTAATCAATTTTGAGTTATATATGAAGTATAAAATCATGATCTTTTTTTCTCACATGAATAGCAAGTTATCCTAATATCATTTACTGAATAGTGTTTTCTCCCTCATAATTTCAAATTCTTTATGTTCCTAATTTCCACGTGGGTACATCTGTTTTTACTACTTTCTACAGTTCTGTTTCTTTCTTCTAACACCGTCATCATACCCTTTTGATATCTGGATAGGGAGCATTCTCCTTAATTCTTTCTTTTCAAAAATTTCCTTATGCATTTATTTACTTTTTCAGAAGAATTTTATAATTTGTTAAGCTGTATCTTAATGCTTGTTCAGATGGCATTTTGTAACTTCGGTTTTATTTTATTTGCAGTTTTTGGCCAGGGCTGGGTTTGAACCCGCCACTTCCAGCATATGGGGCTGGTGCCCTACCCTTTTGAGGCACAGGCGCCGCCCCTGGTTTTATTTTTTTATGTGAATTCTTCATTCTGTAATCTGTTTTTTTTCCTTATATTTCAGAGTCCCATGTGTGGAAACTCACATGAGTCGGCTCAGTCTAGAAGGGTAGTAATTTCTTATAATATGGATAAAGCTCTGAAAGAAGGTAAGGATTAAATGGGAGTATAAAATTACTATGTAAAACAATTCATTATGTTCTAAAGGGAAAATAATAATCTCTAGCAAATTTATGTCTTTCCTACTGTATATTAGCATTAGTTCTTTTTTTTGTGAGTTTATATTGATGACTTAAATATGTTGATGTTTTGGTTGAATGGAAAGGATTTACACATTTATTGAGTAGGAATTTCAGATGATGTGAAGCTGGAAGTAGAGCTGGTTTCACCATATGAAGCATGGATCCACTCTTTGTTCCTTAAAATATTTGGTTTTAAATTTTACCTAGAGAAATTGTATTGGGGATAAATGGACCAGTGCTATCTAACATTAATATGAGAGCCACAAATGTAATTTGGGTTTCCTAATTCCAAGCCATAGAACTGATCCAGAATTAAGAAAATAGGGACTAAAAATCTTTCAAAGGAAGGTGATCAGCAACAGAAGCTAAGCCTAGTTAAGATATCTGATACTGACTGGTATTTGGGATTATTCTTAGATTAGTTGGGGTCTTATTAGGAGGCAGAAGTCACACAGTAATTGAATAAGGAAAGTTAAATATAAAGAGTTATTAAATTATAACATGAGATTAACTACTAATGGGTTAAAAAAATCTCTAGAAAATATAAGAAGAGCAGATGATGGGAGCAGCCACTATAGAGCTAAGGCAGAGCACATCTGGACAGAGGTCTCCTTCACCCTGGCTTGAGACCCAGGCCTGCTGAGTCTCCTCCCATGGTTGAGGAGTTTGGGCAGATACCCCAGGTGAGGGGAAGCCAGCAGAATTCTCTGGTACGCCATCCTGTGGATGCCATTGGAATTCGCTGGGGTGAACACCATTTGGTGTCCTGCCTTCTGCTCTCTGCTGCATACAGTAGAAGCCGTCAGAGAAGAGCATACAGGAGTCAGGAAGAAAAGCTCCTTCTTGTTCCCATCCCCTTCCATCATGCTTTGCTGACAAAGTTAAATGCTGTTGGTCAAAGAAGAAATGTTTAAGGGTCCAGCCCCTGTATCAAAAAGCAGGACAGAAAGGCTGACTTTATAGCAAGACAGGCAATAGATTGATAACTGGTACACTTCATAAGTGTGAATACCTCCGTGTAAAATGCTCTGGGTTTTTTGTTTTTGTTGTAATAAACTTGGGTAGTTTGACATCAAGATAGAATATTTTAAAATAGGGCTAAGAAAATCGTGATGTGTGATCACTACACTCACATAGTCTAGTTAAATGAGAATCTTTTATTTTCAAAGATTTAGGAAGGATGACCTGTCTTCTTTTAAGTTGTGTTTTCTGCTGTCTTCATATTTTAAACAGTGAGTCTTAAAACAGTAGGTGGCCAATTTCCAGTAGAAATGCTTCTTTCATTTGTTTTACTCATTGCTTTGTTTATTCCTGGTAGTGTTCGACTACAGCTACAGAGATTACATTCTGTCCTGGTATAGAAGCCTCAGCAGAGATGAGGGACAACTTTATCATCTGCTCTTAGAAGACTTCTGGGAAATTGCCAGAGAGCTGCATCACAGACTGAGTCACGTGGATGTGGTTAAAGTTGTCTGCAATGATGTTGTAAGGACTTTACTCACTCATTTCTGTGACCTGAAAGCTGCTAATGCCAGGTAACTGTGGGCAACTCACCCCACCTTTTCATATTAAAATACCTTTCTTACTAAGTAAGGGATCAAAGTCAAGAATATACTCTAGAATATACTGCCTTTTGCCAGTACTTGGCTTTTTTAAAATGTAAACATATAGAGGGGAAATACTATAGTGTTCTGATAGAGTAGACTTTTTAAAACTTTCTAATAGAAAACCACTTTATAGATGATGTTTAATTGTACAGATTTTTTTTTTTTTTTTTTTGGCCAGAGCTGGGTTTGAACCCACCACCTCCAGTATATGGGGCTGGCCTTCCAACTCCTTTGAGCCACAGGCACCGCCTGATAATGTTTAATTTTATAAATAGTCAAATGAATTTTACTGAGCCAGCATCAAGATGATCTCATTTATGATATTGTGGGTACCTAGAAAAGAAAATATATTATTTTCTAATGTGAACGGTGTCAATGAGTTTACAGTTTTTAGAATAATTTAAATTTGGTTCATGTTTATTTCTATGAGTCCTGTGTTAAGAGTTCTGTTGCATCACAATATCCTGAAAATTGATTTTTAAAGGTACTTGATATTGGAAGTTATAGACTTTATTTATAGAGTCTCATTCTGTTGCCTTTGAAAGAGTGCCTTAGTGTCACAGCTCACAGCAACCTCTAGCTCTTGGGCTTAGGTTATTCTTTTGCCTCACCCTTCCGAGTAGCTGGGACTACAGATGCCTGCCACAACGTCTGGTTATTTTTTTTTTTGTTGAAGTTTGGCTGAATGTATATGGGGCCAGTGCCCTACTCACTGAGCCACAGGTGCTGCCCAAATTATAGCAGTTCTTTCATATACATAACAAGTAGTCTTGGGCAGGTTCAAACCCAGCCCCGGGCCTAAAACTGCAAAAAAAAAAGTAGTCTTACTGAAATGAGTAGCCTCTGCCTGTTTTGATATGAACTTAGTTGGAGTAGAATGGTAAATGTGACCTATTCTCACTTATAGGGAAGAGATAAAGAACTTTAACCACTTAGGGGATGAGCCAACACTGGCATCTTTGTTGGGCAGATGGTAACTCATGTTCTCTTCTAATAAGCCTTGTGTGAATTTATCAGAAAGTAGCCCCATTCTGTCTTGTGAGGTTGTGTTTGTAAGTGGACGTTGTTGCTGAGTGTGGTTGTGTAGCAGGCCTCCATTCTCAGCTGTGTTGCCTCTTTCTGTGAGTTGTATTGTTTCCCAAAATCTGCCAATTTCAGGTCTAAGAGGCCAGAACCCATGGAGCCATTATGTGCCCACTATTTGCCAGCTTGCTGCCTCAGTGTTTTGCAAATCATCTATCTAATCTATCTGTCCATAGAGTCTCACTTTTGTTGCCCTGAGTACAGTGCTGTGGTATCCTAGCTCACAGCAACCTCAAACTCTTGGGCTCAAGCGATCCTCCTGCCTCAGCCTCCTGAGTAGCTGAGACTACAGGCGCCTGCCACCACACCTAGCTAATTTTTCTATGTTTAGTAGAGTCATCTGTCTAATCTATCTGTCCATAGAGTCTCTCTTTATTGCCCTGGATAGAGTGCTGTGGTGTCACAGCTCACAGCAACCTCTAACTACTGGGTTTAGGTGATTGTCTTGCCTCAGCCTCCTGAGTAACTGGGACTACAGGTGCTCGCAACAACACTTGGCCATTTTTTGTTTGTTTGGCAAGGGCCAGGTTCGAACCTTCCATCCTTGGTATATGAAGCCAGCACCCTCCCCACTGAGCCACAGGTGCTGCCCAACTTAAGAAAATTTTAAAATACTGGCATACACAGGACACTTTCCATTAATCAGCATGATAACATCATCATACATCATGTAGCCTCTGGAAAATGCCACTGTGGCTCGGCGCCT